AGGCTCACCCCCTATTACATGGGACTCATAACATAAATAGTGAAAAGTAGGTGTTATGTTTGGGTTTTTCGTTTGTTTTAGTTTTTGTATTCGGTTTTTTTAAACGTAGTTTTTTTATTAAGCATTAGCTACGTCAAAACAGTTTAAATAATGTCATATTTTCGATATTCGCTCGTGTCTAGTTTTTCTTAAATCCTTGTTTATCTACCTCAACTTGTTTACCTTGCTAAGTGGTCGCCCTTGTTACAACTCAACAACCAAAACAGTTATATAGTTGAACGAGCAAATTATTGATACGTTCATAACATGACGTCACGTTTAATCTGGGGTAGGTAAGAGGTACAAGGCCACATTCAGTTACGTTAGTTTTTTTTTTTTTTTTTTTTTTTTAAGGGGGGAAAATCATCGAATGACTGCCCCCGCCTGGGTGAGGCGGGAGGGAGTGTCAGACTCTTACTGACTAAAAACCACCCCGTTCCTTCTCCTGCACGTCGAGCCGGAGCCCCGGTTACCCGTTAGGTTCTCCGCGACTCCGAATCGGCATCGGCCCTATTGGGCCCCATCTGTGGTGGTCTGATGGCTCTTTGAGGCGCGCGCGGAACGCGACGCGCCGTACGCTCGGGTCTGTTTCTGGTCGGACGGGGAGCCACCCATGCTCGCCGTCCGCAGGCCCGCGCTTACGGTGGCCGGAGATCGTCCCGCGATCCCCGACGCCCGGTGTGTCCTTCGCGATGGCTGGGTTGCGAGGAGGCAGCGCTTCGCTGCCTCACGCGTCCCGCCTCCTCCTTAGCTAGCATGACTGCTTCGCAAAAGGAGGAGACGGCATCCCAGTCCCCCTCGCTCCGCATCATGGCCCGCACTAGGCCCGGACGCGAGAGGTCGCCATCGCCGATCACTTCCCTGAGGACACGGCGGTGCTCAGCCCACGAAGGGCATTCTCCCACCGTGTGTTCCACCGTGTCCTCAGGGCGGTCCTCGCAGTGATGACACCCGGACGTTTCCTCCCGCCCCATCAGACACAGGTACCTCCCGAAACTTCCATGTCCGGTGAGGACCTGCGTCAGGCGGTAGGTGAGGACGCCGTAGCGTCTCTCAAGCCACTCCTCAAAGAGGGGACTTACCGCTGCGATGGCAGCGAGCCCAATCCCGAAGGGGTAGGCAGAAGTGCACATTATGCCACTGTACAATGTAACACCCACTTTTCACTATTTATGTTACGAGTCCCATGTAATAGGTAGTGAGCCTATTGCCATATACCGGGCACAATTCCAGACACCGTGCTACTACTGAGAATTTTTTAAAAACCCAGTAATACTTTGCCCGACCCGGGAATCGAACCCGAGACCCCTTGCTCGGCAGTCGCACTTGCAAACTTGTTATGATTGCCGTGTAAGAGGTAATTATAATTATTGTACTTTTTATATAAGATACCTATTACATAAGTGTACAATAGTAAATAAGTACCATTTTTTATTGTTAAACTGTACCTATAATGTTTTGGCTTGTGCTTATAAATAAATAAATAAATGATAATTTAAAAAAATGGTACTCACGTTAATAAACTCCCCAGTAGACCCATAAGGGTCATGATCAGCTAATCTTTTAACATGATGGTTGTCATCAGAAAGTAGGAAGTCGGCGAAGCAGTACTTCGTTTTCAATTGTGGATGGGTGTGCAACCATGGTGGTTTTAGACATTGGTCGTAACTTGCGTAGTGTCTGGAGGATCCATAGTAATTACCTGATGGTAATGAATTGGCATTCCAAACTGAAAAAAGGATTCTCTTAATATCACTACATAGTTTTAACTAAGTTTCACTTTTGTTTTGTTTATGTTTTATTGTTGTAAATATGTCAGTTACTGTAATTGGATTTTTATGCCGTTGTGACTGTTAAAAATAAATAAATAGTATAAAACAAAGTCGCTTTCTCTGTACCTATGTCCCATTTTATGCTTAAATCTTTGAAACTACGCAACGGATTTTGATGTGGTTTTTTTAATAGTTAGAGTGATTCAAGAGGAAGGTTTATATTATGTATAATACATACATATTGCACCCTTGCGAAGCCGGGCGGGTCGCTAGTTAGGTATAAAAGAATTAATATTATAGAACAAAGATACATCGAACAATTAGACGTAAGTGTTGCATCTCTTATTGGTTGATATAAAATCGAAAACTGTTTTTTTTTTTTTTTTTTTAAACCTTGCCCCACACTAGGATTTTCTCCTGTGTCGTGGGTGCGTTTACAAACATTCAAGTTCACATACACATACACATACATACAGATTATCGTATGGCTTCAGCAATGGATAGGATTTACGTCGAAAATTATGAAATCTGATCAAGAACATGACCGAATTCATCTTCATATTTTTTTAATGGGACAAATAAACTGATAAACGAGCAGACGGATCACCTGATGGTAAGCAATCGGTGTCGCATATAGATACCTGGAACACTAGAGGCGTTACAAGTGCGTTATAGCGGTCTTTTGGGATTAGGAATTTGAGGATTATTGGGGTTTCAGGAATCGGCGAGATTAGGGAGGGAGGAGGGGGTAATTAAGCCTCCGGTATGCTACCGGTAGTAACCTCATCATTCACACGACGAAACACAACGCAAGTATTGTTTCACGTCATCACTATCAACAACAAAGTTTAACTACGTCTGGAGCTTCTCCACAAAAGAGTACTTGCCATAATCTCTACGTATGGTAGCAGGATTTAAGAAGCCGTAGCTTAAATTAAGTGTGGGAGAGCCATGCTTCGGCACGAATGGGCCGGCTCGACCGGAGTGATACCACGGACTCACAGAAAACCGACGTGAAGCAACGCTTGCGTTGTGTTTCGTGGTGTGAGTGAGGTTACCGGAGGCCCAATTATCCTCCCCTTCCCCAATCTCCCCAATTCCTGAATCCCTAACGATCCTCAAACTCCTAATCCCCAAAAGGCCGGTAACGCACTTGTAACGCCTTAGGTGTTCGAGGTGTCCATGGGCGACGCCGATTGCTTACCATCAGGTGATCCGTGTGCTCGTTTACCGGCTTATGACATAAAAAAAATTACTTTTCATACTGTAAACAATTAAATTTGAAGTCCGTTTTAATACTTAAATGAAATAATCAACTTACTCCATGTCGCCCACAAAGTGTGATTCTTCACGTTTTCCAAAACATTTAAAGCACTTTCCAAACACGGCGCTTCATCTTTCTCCCACTTTTCCAGCTTCAGTTTGTGCGCCAACGAATCTAGGAATGTGTCTGCTTGTGGCTTGTGGGCAGTTAGGGGATGTGCGTGACCTGTAACAAATAAAATAAGATCAGGACCTTCTCATACACCTATACCTACAGAATTGGAATTAATGCCTTTTACCTTTAAGGTGAATTTTGACTGTTTGTCTTTGAATAAAATCAGACGAGGTGATTTAGATATAATATATTAATTTAGTGGTAATAAATAAAATAAAATAAAAG